TATCAGTGTGAAAGCAGATGATTTCCCCACTGACCGGGATAAAGTGGGGTTTATCATAAGTATGCTCTCTGGTCCTGCAGCTCGTTGGGGCACACCCTTGCTAGCCCAACCTAGTCCATTGATGGACAACTTTGTGGGGTTTTGTGAGCACATGCGGTTAATGTATGAAGACCCCATCAAGACCCAGACGGCTACCCGGGGTTTGAAGGCTCTGAGGCAAGGCCGACGCCCCCTGCAGGGCTATATCAGTGAATTTCGGCTGCTTAGCCAGGATTCAGCCTGGAATGAGGCTGCGCTTGTGGACGCTTTCCAGGATGGGTTGTCGGAGGAGATGCTGGATGAGCTGACCCGTGTTGATATTCCCCCGGACCTTAGTGGGCTCATTCATCTCTGTCTGCGGATCGACGCCCGGCTGCAGCAGCGAAGGAGTCGCCGTGCCATCCCAGAGACCCGTACGGCCCCTGTTGTGGGTGCGACCCCGGTCCAGAGGGAGGAGCCAATGGAGTTAGGTGCTGCCAGACCTCGTCTATCGTTGGCAGAGATGAACAGGCGACGTTCGGGGGGGTTGTGTTTTTACTGTGGGGACCCTGGGCATTTGGCCGCTTTCTGCCCCAAGAAGCGACGAGGGGCGTCTGTGCCGGAGCTTGTCCCGAGACTGCCATCTGCTCCCCTGTCGGGAAACGGCCCACGCCCGACCTGAAAGGCCTTTTGGGTTGGGCGTCCCGCACCTCCGAGCCACACCCTTCTGATGCTGACCACGGACCCCCAAAACATTTGATCTTGGAGGCACGCCTGATTCTTCCTAAGTTGCCCAGGGGGATTCCTGTCCATACGTTGATTGACTCTGGGGCCACTACGAACTTTATAGACGCAGCATTCGTGGCTCAATGGGCAATTCCCCAATGCCCCGTGGATCCACCGATGTTAGTGGAAACCATTGATGGTCGAGTACTTCGGTCTGGGCCAATTAAGGCTGCCACGCAACCACTATGTATGGCCATCAGTACCCATGAG